ATATATTTTGTGAGCGGAATCCCACTCACACAGCAGAGCCTGGCAAGCTCCCCGTGGCATATTTGATATGCCAAAAACAGTAACAACAAGTCTGACAATGAAGATGTTACTGGTGCCCACTCGAGCAAATCGATGAACAACGGGAAGACAGTGCTACAGTGCTACATATATTTTACAGTTAATCAACATCTATACTAGTACAAGTGGTGGTGATAAAAGTTAATCTAGCCTAGAGAAAGGAGCACCAAGATGGGAGAAGCATGCTGAAAGTAGACTATAGGCCAAACATGATCGCCACTCAATGCCTCTTTTGCAAACCACAACACCCAAAAGGAGAGAGAGAGAACAAAAGGGAATGCCCTGCCACAGAGGCAGGGTGAGATGGGGGAATGGGGGTGGGAGGGATACTGGGATCCGTGGTGGTGGAAAATGGGCACTGGTGGAGGGATGGGTGTTTGATCATTGTACAATTGAAACCCAAGCACAAAAATTTGTAAATCTACAACTGTACCTCATGGTGTTTCACTAACAAAAATTAAAAAAAATGTAAATGATGGCGAATGGGCACTGGTGGAGGGATGGGTACTGGATCATTGTATAACTGAAACCCAAGCACAAAAATTTGTAAGTCTACAACTGTACCTCACAGTGTTTCACTAATAAAAATTAAAAAAAAAAAAGAAGTAACCCCTGGTGAAAAAAAAAAGAAAATGTATAATATTGGCATTAAATTGAAAGTCTTTTCATCTAAAAAAAAAAAGTTAAACTAGACACTCGAGAGTGACTTGACCATAAAGAAATCTGTGTCCAGGAGGTGGAAAGAGCTAAAACAAAAAACAAAAAAACGCACACAACTAAACAATGGTGGACAAACTGCTGATATGTTAGAACAAATTAAGGCAATGGCACCAAACTGTTGTAGTAGTCATTATGTTTTTCACTGCCACTTCCTCGTGCTAAAAATTAAATCACATTCACTTCAGAATGTCCTTCATGAAACATTAAAAACTATCAATTCTGCTAACTCTCAATCATTGAATATCTATGAGCAGCAAAATATGCAGAGTAGTACTCTATTGCATATCTGAGTACAAAAGTTGTTCACAACAACCAAAGGAGCAGGGCAATGTGCTAGGTATTTTGTAAGTCATTCATCAGAACCTTGTTATAGTGTGAGGTCACTATAACTGGTCTTTTTCTCTTTTTTTCTCTTAAGATCATACAGGTTGACTTTAGGTTGACCTTGTGACCACTCACTACTTTCGGACTGGCCGGCTAGAGCGATAGCACAGTGGGTAGGGCATTTGCTTTGCATGCGGCCTACATGACCCACCTAGGTTTGATTCCTCCGCCCCTCTCAGAAAGCCCAGCAAGCTACCGAGAGTATCCGTCCGCATGGCAAAGCCTGGCAAGCTCCCCGTGATGTATTTGATATGCCAAACACAGTAACAAGTCTCACAATATTACTGGGCCCGATAGAGCAAATCGATGAACAATGGGAGGACAGTGACAGTGACAGTTAAGATCACACAGTTATTACATGACAGAATTCAGAATCAAGTTCAGGTGATGTCTTTATAGACGTCCCTTCAATCATATGCTTTCAGTCTCTAAAAATTAATCCTTACTCAGTGCATGTTAGTCTGAATTCATCAGGTCCAACTACAACACATTCTAAAATAAATATGGCCATTTCATTGACAAATATCTGTAGCACTGTCCGTAGCACTGTCCCCCCCGTTGTTCATTGATTTGCTCAAGTGGGCCCAGTAACGTCTCCATTGTGAAACTTGTCGTTACTGTTTTTGGCATATTGAATATGTCATGGGTAGCTTGTCAGGCTTTGCCGTGCAAGCGAGATAGTCTCGGTAGTTTGCCAGGCTCTCCAAGAGGGGCAGAGGAATCGAACCTGGGTTGGCCAAGTTGGCCACGTGCAAGGCAAATGCCCAACCACTGTGCTATCTAATGAATATCAAAGAACTAAGTATAGCAGAGTAAAATTCTTTAAGACATTTAAGATTTTACAGACTTGAGTCAAAGTAATTTTCATAGAAACAAAAACTAGCTCTAAAATTCTAGGTGTTCCAAACGAATCTCAGACCTGGCAACCTGCTGCAGATATGGCCCGGGACTTTGCAATAGGCCTTTTCCACTGGGCTGCTCCAGATGGGGCAGGTGTTGTTCTCTGCCTGCCCTCTAGGACCTCCAGAGGCTGCCATTTTCTAGAAGTCAGCAAGAAGCTCCAGGTAGGAGTGGCAGTGATGGCAAATCCCAAGTCTCACAGGACTGGGGAGGAGTGGGTCGTTGGGCCCTTCTCCTTAACCTCCCCTCTCCCCCCACCCCACCCTGATGGGACTCAAGATGATGCCAAATCTGCCCACCGTCTACTTAAGCTCCCACATGGCTGCGATCCAGAGACACACAGACGAGTCTCGGACCAAGCACCACCAGGAGTAATTCCTAAGTAAGGAGCCAGGAGTAACCCCTGAGCATCGCCAGGTGTGACCCAAAAAGAAAAAATAAAGGGCAAGAATTAACTATTTGATAGAAATTCTCTCAAAAATGTAATAAAGTAAAAAAAATTTTTTTGTTAATCTAATAAAGTGAACTTGCCACTTCACAGAAAACAGCTAATAGTATTTCCTACCCATGATAAAATTAGAGCTTTTAAATGAAAGTCATAATTCAGAAATACTGTATCTGCTACTATGAACTTGCCTGCTTCATAATGCTTATAATACTTTTCTGATCACATGGATGACATGAAAGAATAGATTACTTGATATTAAATAAAGAAATATATTGACATGAGGAAGAGATGCACAATGCAGCAAGCCATTATCTTTTGAATGACCAATGTTTGACATTACAAAATTATGTATGGTGAAGACCCATTCAAAGAGGTTGGAGAGCTAGTATAGGGGGTAAGGCACTTGTCATATGTGCAGCCAACCCCAATTTCATTTGAGCACCTCCTGGTATTTTGTGCAACCCCTGAACTGGGACTAGTTTGTGAGTACTGTGGGATACAGCCTCCAAACCAATCAAAAGGCGGAAATAACCCAAATGTTCACCAATGTGTAAATGGTCAAAAAAAAAATGTGGTACACCCATTCAATAGGATATCATTTAGCTTTAAAAAGGAAAGAAATTTTGACACTTGCTACAGCATGCTAAAACCGAAGAAGAATAAGACAGTTATAAAAGTGCAAATACTCCATGAGGTATCTAGAATAGTTCAATTCATAGACATAGAAAGAACAGTGGTTCCAAGAACTGAGGAAGAAGGTAGCAAGGAATTATTTAGTCAGCAGAGTTGGATTTGGGATGGAGAAATAATTCTGGTGATGGAGAGTGGTAATAACTGCACAAGAATATGGATGTAGTTCAAGGCCAGAGCGGTTGTAAGGCCTTTGACCAGGGTTCAATCTCCGGCATCCCATATGGTCCCCTGAGCCCTGCCAGGAGTAATTCCTGAGTGCAGAATCAGGAGTAATCCTTGAGCGCTGCCGGGTGTGATCAAAAAAGAAAAACAGAAAAGAAAGAATGTGGTGGTATTCAAGTTACTAAATCGAGCACTTGAAATGGTTAAAATAAGAAATTGTATGTTACATATACTTTTCACAATCAAATAGGAAAAACATAATTCTGGTATCACTGATAGTTTTGGGAGAGTTAACTTTTCATTCAAATTTTTATTGGTCTATACAACGAATTTACTGATTTTTAAAAACAAATAAATTTTTTAAACTGTCATAGCTTTAATTTCTAGGATGGAAATACATAACCCCCCAAAACAGAAAATTCTTAGGTTCTCAGTAAGTTTTGAGAGGTAAAGAGATTCTGAAATAAAAAAGTTTGAGGACCATGAAATATATTCTCCCCTCATCCTGCATTATGTGAATCTGAAGACTTTATATATACATATACATAGTAACACTAACCATTATATATGTGTGCATATGTATATGTTTGTATATATATACACTTATATACTTTAAAAACTTTACTAGAAGGAATGACCATCACAAAACTCTACATAGAACATGGTTGCAATGTCCAAGAGACTACTGATTAAAAACATTAAGTGCTGATATGTTCTGGAGTAATTTCACGAGTATCTAGCATGAAACACACATTCCCTTGTTTTCCGTTACACCTTGTCTCGGATTTACAGCACAAAACTAGATTTGAGAATGAGAGTGGTAGGCGCATCGTCAGATCCCCTCCGTCCATCCTGCGCATGGGTATGGGTGCAAAGAATTTAATTCTCTCACCATCTTGCCACTGGTTTGTTGCAGAGGGGTGTGGCGAGGGAGCCAGGAAGCAGGCCAAAATAGCAGCTGAGGCTGCCCAGGACCGTGTCCCAGCAATCACTTCCTCTATTTTGGGGGTCCAAGTCGATTTGCCCCAGCAAGAGGCGGAATATTTGGGGGGGTGAGTTAAAAATCAAAAAGAAAATTAGAAAGCGTGGACTCAAAGAATAAGCACGACCATAGCGGTTTCATTTGGGGAGGATACCCAATGACTGGCATGCTATAATGGATGTGCTGGGTCGGGGGACAAAACGGAATTGTTCTTCCTGAATCCACAGCTGCCCTGCCGTAATGACAGATCTGCAGTTCCCGACTGGGGAGTGGCGGGGGTTGCGGGAGAAACGAAAAAAAAGTCAAGTGATTTTCTTCTCCGGACATTTTCTCCGCATTCATTTTGGGCCGGGTCTGTGACAGGCTCGCGGACTGCAGCTGAAGGCTGTCCCCAAACAAAGGGGGACCGCAGCCCTCCTGGGGGAGCCGAGCAGGGACAGGGGCCCCCAGTCGCCTAGCCAGGTGGGTCCCTCGGGAGAGAGAAGGCAGGCCGCGGGGAGGGAGAGGAGCCGGGGCGGCGCGGGGGTGCGAGCGGGGAAGCCCCGGCGGGGCACCCGCAACCTCCCCACCCCCCACCCGGGCAGAAGACCCCGCCCTGGCCATGGTCAAGGTGAACCCACGCGCCGGAGGTACCTGTGGAGGCCTCGCACCGCCCAAAGGCACCGGGTGACCATGGGAGCGTAGGAAGACCGGCGGCGGCGAGTGCGCTGTGCTCCGACGCAGGCTGGAGGAGGATCCGGGGCGCCCGGGAGCCGGCACGAGGCCTACGAGCGGAGGCGACAGCGACACGACAGCGGCGGCCGGCGCTGCCCGCGCCCTCCCACGTGCGACAGCCCCGAGCGGCCGCCACTACGGCCCCGCCCCCCGTGGCCCCGCCCCGGGCCGGGCCCGCCCACAGATGGCCACGCCCACCACGCATGACCGAGCCCCCGCAGCCCGTCCCTACACCGCTCCGCCTCCACGCCTGGCCACGCCCCGCGCATGGCCACGCCCCCACGGCCCGGTCCCTCCGCGGTGCGCCGCCCCGGGGGCGGTGCCGGCGAGACCCTGCGGCCCCGAGCCCCGTTCCGCGCCGGGTGGGTCGAGGGGGCGGCGGCGGCGGCGGCGCTGGCGCCGTGAAGTTTGAGTGGCCGTGCTGCGGTCGGGAGCTCGATCCAGATCTTGACCACCAGAGGGGCTGGGCGGCCCGACTTAGGGACGCCCGCGGGCCCGCGGCCACCTTCTCGCGTCCTCTCGCCTGGTAAGGGGCTTCGGTTCTGCCTGCAATCGCCGCCGACGGGGCCTGGTGGCGCGCCCGCTGCAAAGGCCCGGGTTCCCCAAGGGACGAGAAGGAGGTCGGTGTGCTTCGCGGGGGCGGGAGCGAGAGGAACCCGGAGGCCGGGCATCTCCGTCTTCTGCGCACCCCCTTCCTTCTCGTGCCGGTTCTTTTTGTACCCTCTGCCCGGGGGCGGACGGGCCTGGGTAGGGGGCCGGTGGAGGTGGGGGTCCCTTCTTCGGTACTCACAACCCGGTTGCCGAAAGGCTGGGCTCGCCTTTAACTCCAGTGATAAACATCCGAGCAGTGGGTACCACACCCTGGCTTTGAACGAGGGAACCTGGGGAGCTGATGGATGACGCGATTTAGTGGAAATTAGCCCTTAATGCCGGCTGGCCCTGCGCCACTGTTTGGATGCGATAGTGCTGCATGTGAATGGACACGACCGGGAGCTTCCAGCCTGTCCACGAGAGAGTCCAGCTGCTGCAGAGACAGAGCACTGTCGGTTTGTAGTAGCCATCGATTTGGGCAAGGATTTCCTGACATGTCTGTTGATGAAATACAAATGCCATTCTTTCTATTAGGCATGACACTCGATGGTTGAATAGCCCTTGGTGAGCGTATTTCCTCGGCACAAAATACCGTCTCAGCCCACCAAAATTTGGCGGAATGTAAATTATGCATCTACATATTTTTAAATCTCATGAGAGAAAGTGCTCACCGTGGGTCAGCTTCTGAGTCAGCAGTATGAAATCTCTCTCAACTTAATGCCGAGGCCTCTGGGGGATTTGTGCATCTATATTATCTATTTCTCTTTCCTTTATATACTATGTAGATACAGTGAGATATGCAGTGGTAGTCTAAGCTTATACGATACATGTCTGGGGAAATTTTTTACTTCTGGAAGATTTAGCATAATCTAATACCACTGGATACCAATGAAAAGATGTAATAAATCACCATAACAGTACTTGGTGCGGTCTGTTTCTTTTAGAAGAGAAAGGTGTAAAGGCAATAGAGGTTTCTGGTTTTGCTATTTTTTTTTTTATCTTTCAGGCTAATTTATTGCTTCGTTATTTATAATCTCTGTAAGTATAGCCTTCCCAGCTCATTCTTTAAAGTAACAAGGTGTTTTCATTTGTCTTACTAAGGAAAATTGTTTAAGCTCTTAAGATGTCATCTGTCAAGCACCTAGTTTATGCAGTTATTCGTTTCTTACGGGATCAAAGTCAGATGGATTCTTATAGTTCGGATGAACAAGAAAGTTTGGAAGGTAGGCTCCTGTTTTATTATATCCATTCATGTTTATTTTATGAAAGCTAAAATAACTGTGGCCTCACTTGATGATCTATAATAAAAAATCAGAATATTTTGTTGATTTTTTTCTAGGGAGAGAACAGCTTGTTAGGTTATCACATTTCTACTTTGTGAAAGTTATTTTGTTTAAATTAATAAGAAGATAAGAGAACCATGGTTCATGTATTGAGTTTGTAAGAACTATGTTATTCATATAATAGAGTTTTTTTTTTTACAGTGACTGTCAACTTAATCTTATTCCACATAAAATCCCATTTAAATAAGTAACACAGTTAACAATGGGCCAGTGCTGAGATTTAACTTCTGGCTCTCACTCTGATAATCTTGTGGTCTCTTCCTCCGAGGAGGGCATAATACGAATCATGCTATTCCTATTATGGAAAGCATCCAGATTAGAATCAATACTTGAAAATATCTTAGTCATCATAAAAGCATTGTGTGAAAGGCTAATAATTATTTATACCACTAGTAAGTTCTGACAACTTTCATTAGGGGGGCTTGAAATGAGAGAATTTTACCTTTGTTTTACGTCAGCTTTAAGTCCTGGATTCAGTAGTTTGTTAAGTTGAGCAGGACCTGGATGATAGCATCACGTGTTTCCTTGACACCATCTTTTGTGCCTTGTGTTTATGCATTATAAAATTTAAATCAGGGTGGCTGTAATCAATTCTGCCGATGGGCATTGTGACATAAAGCTTTGATTATTAAAAAGAGAATGGGAGAATGTACTAACAGCACATTTAAAATGTTCCATTTTCAAGTTGTTTTTCCTATATAGGAGGGATGTCTGTTAATTCCTACCAGCACTTTCCTTGGGAATCTCCTTTCAGGAGGTAGGGGCGAAAACTGGGCATTTGCTCTAAGTCTGCTTGCAGTGTGGTAAGATGGTGTCCTTCCAGGTGGCAGTGAGAGGAGCAGGTGATACGCAGTTGGAGAATGTTGCAATCAGTTCATTTAATATCCAGCCCTTTTTGTCCTCTTTGACTGAACTGTGAAGATAAAGGAGACCAGTTATCTAAGAATCATATTTGCAATGGTTTTTCTGTAACAAGCACATAAATGCAATCATTTAATAAAAATGTGTTTCCTAATAAAAAGCAATATAAGGCTTTAAAGAGCCAGAAAGAAGATGGAGTTTTTTTTTTTTTAACCAAGATGTTACATGTCCTATTTTTAGGATGGTACTCAGCCAAAAATATGTGCCTTCAGCTGTTTGTTATATATATGGTAGTCAGAAATGGTGCCAATTGTCTTTGACCGACCCCTATTTTTGATTCTGTCAGTCTAATTAAATTGAATATGAAATCATGTGGAGATGTCTGTCCACCTTCTAGACATTTAAAAAGCCCCAGGAAAGGAGCCTGAATTCTAGTACCAGCTTTTCCACTGTGGTGAAGTTGGTGTATTACCAGCTTTGATCGTTGTCATCAAATTATTTCACCTAGTCCTCCTAATTGTCATTATCTACTGACATCTGCTTCATGTTTTGACTTTTCAGATTCCTGCTCATTGTCACTCTCTTTCACATGACTTATTGTTTTCATTCTTGTCCGTGACAACATATTCATAGATGATTCTTTTAGTTCTCTTGGCTCTTGGTTCCTTGGCCTTCTCTCCTCCAGTAATTCCACTCACTAACTCCTTTGGTCAGACTCTACACCAATGGTTCTTACCTAAGAGTGCTTTTGCAACATCTAGGGATAATTTTTGTTGTGATGATGAGGTGGGGGTGCCGAACTGTTGGCATTTAGTAGGCATACCTGTGTAGATGCTACTAAGCATACATAGGACAGCCCTTAACACAAATAATTTTTCTAGTCCTAAATGTCAGTGGAACTGAGGTTGAGAAATGTTTCCTAGATCCTGCCATTACCCAATATCATTCTCTCCAAAATCTCTATCACAGAGAGATAGTACAGGGATCAAGTCACTTTCCTTGCATCTTGATCACTCAGGTTGGAATCTCAGCCACCACAATGGTCATCCGAGCACAGCCTATGGTCAGTTCCGAGCACAGAGCCTGAAATAGCCCCTGAACACCTCCCACCTCCCCATTTCTCTTATAAATATTTCGCTTCATGACCATGACATTTTACCGCATCTTATTCTGTCTAGAATCTCTGTCCCACCAATTATTTGACCCTGTAGCACAGCGGTAGGGCATTTACCTTGCGTGCAGCCAGCCTGACCGAGCCGGGTTCGATTCCTCCGCGCCTCTCAGAGAGCCCGGCAACCTACCGAGACTATCTCGCCCGCACGGCAAAGTCTGGCAAGCTACCCGTGATGTATTCGATGTGCCAAACACAGTAACAACAAGTCTCAAAATGGAGATGTTACTGGGCCTGCTCGAGCAAATCGATGAACAACGGGAGGACAGTGCTACTAATACCTCTAGTAATCAATCCCTTACTTTTTCAAACCCCTCTTTTTATCCAGCTGACATTCCATGGTTATTATAGTTCACTCTTTTGTATATTTCTATTTGTTCTAAATCTCAACTTTTTAAAAAGTCCACCTGTCCACTTACTCTTTATCCATTTCACAAGACTGTAGAGTTGGAATAGTGCACACAGTTTGCTGGTTAACTCTGTTTTATGTTCATGTCCATAAACCTCCAGTGAATCTGGAGCTAGCTGGCAATCACATTATTTTCTCCAAGTTTATTCATGTTTTTGCTATTCTGGACAGCCACTTTGATACTTTCCCATGACTTCTCAAACCACTGAACTCCTCTTAGCATTGAGGACTCTGTTTTCTACTTCAGCAAGAAAATTGAAATAATAAGCAAGCATTTTCCACAGACTTCCTCAGCTCTGCCTACTTTCCCACCAACATCTATACCCACATCATTGCCTGCCTGATCCAGTCATAGGCTATGGATTGGATATTTGTATCTTTCTGGAATTCATATATTGAAACATAGTGCCCTAAATGATAGGATTAGGAGATAGAGCTCTCGCGATTGAGATGAGTGGCCTTATAAATAAGACATCTCAGGTTACCTAAGGATAGTATAGTGGGTAAGGTACTTGCTGTGAACATGGCAGAATGCAGGTTTGATCCCTGATACCACATGGTGTCCCTGAGGCCCACCAGGGTGATCCCTGAGCACAGAATGAGGAGTAGGTGTTACCTCTCCCCTTAAAAAAAAAGCCCCAGATTGCTCCATCATTCACTCCTTTTCCCATGTGAGGATTCATTTAGAAGGGACTGTCTACAAACTTTCAGAAGTAGGTTCTTGCCACCTGGGATGTGACTCAGTGGTTGAGTGTATGGCTTGCATATGTGTAGCACTGGGTTCATTCTCTGCCATTAAATTCTTTTTTCAAAAGAATTTACTTTCTTTCAGTAAATCCTTAACAAGCTTTGAATTTGATGCTGCCGGATCATGAATTTCTCATCTTCCAGAATACGAGAAATATGTTTCTGTTGTATGTAAGCCACCCCATGTAGGATATTCTATTACAGCAGCCTTAATACCAGAATGGAAAGATCTTTTGTCCTTTCTGAATGGAACTAGGACCCCCCCGCCCTCGCTTTCCATTCTGTCTCCCTTACTCTGGAGTGTCACTCTGGTTACTCTTCCCTTCATATCGCGTATCAGCTAATTTTCACTCTACTAGGATTCTTTTCCCATCAAAATACAGCAGTTACTCAAATTAATGCTATTGTATTACAATGTTGATGAGAAGGAAAATAAATTCCCAGTCAGGGCAACTGTTTGTTTGTGGAGTTTGCACATTCTCCTTATGTCTGTGTGGGTTTCCTCTGGGTTTTCTGGTTTCCTCCCACATCTCCAGCATGTGCTCATGAAGTACATTGGCATGTCTAAATTGTCCTAGTGTGAGAGTGTGGGCTGGAGGGTCTGTCCGCACCTTCCGTAGAAGGGCACGTCCTGTCTCATTGGGTGCTGCCCTGGCCTCTGCAGTGCTGTATCAGGCTCAAGACTCCTTCATCCCCGAGTTGGAATAAAAGCACTGGAAAATGAAAGAATGAATGAAAGAATGAGTTATTGTTTAATAGTAGAAGTGTTTTGGATCTGTATAAGGCAGAAATATAACTTAGGAGCCTAACTCTTATTTATAAATATCAATTAACCTGTGGTAAAATTTGTTTCATTACATTTAGTAATAACTATTGGAAACATGTTACCTATATTACAGTGTAAAACTTAATAAAATGTGCGACCAGAGACATAGGACAGTAGGCAGGTTACACTCTAAATGAAGAACCTATCAAATGTATCAAGTAAGCACTTTATCTCATTAATTTTTTTAAAGTATGCTGGACTATCTATTAGACCCATCATCCAGACAGTGGAATTAAACAAAGTGTTAGAGAAATGTAAAAAGTAGCCCAGACACCCCAGAAAGGGGTAGGTGAGTACCTCCATCTGCCCAAGCAGAGCCTTGGCAGCTGAAAACTTCCAGAACCCAATTGCCATCATACTCACGGCCAGACTCCACAGGCACGGGGGAGCCTCATCCATGAATGCATCTGCTGGAAAACTGAGGTATTTGGGTTTTGTGACCAAAATCTCCAGGCGGCCATTGAATTGGAGATGGGTGACCTCCCCCAAATCCCCTTAGTCTTCCAGGAGCCTGGCAGTCATGCCCATGAACTGCCTCCAGTACCTTATTTGCCCATAAACTGGCCGTGATCCAGAGACTCAGAAATAAATCTCGAAAGAGATCAGTGGGGGCCAGAGTTGCTTCCAGACTCTAAAGTCATCATCCAGTTAGAAATTTAAGCCTAGCGGCACAACCCCACCCAAATTTTAGAATTCCTAGAGCAACATCTCCTATGCTGCATCGCTGGTATCCAGGAGTAACACACCACATTGGATCGATGGAAAGCGGAAGGCAGCCAATCTCGATGAACGAAATATTAAAAGACAAAGCTTAACCTGTAACAACAGCTTAGTAATCTTTTATACAAGGGCGTGATGGCTCCACG